GGATGATAAAATCAGTCACCCCCCTCTCACATGGTGCATGATGACTGTGGGGGCCTCCCACAAATTTCTCAGCTGGGGATGACAGATCTAGACCGTGACTGAAGTGTTCAGGACCCAGAATTTGGACCAGTTCTTTTTCTTCTCATCCTGGTTGATTCTGATTGATCTGGAAGGAGAAAACTGTTTGTTTTGTAAGAAACCAGTGTTTTTATTTATCTTTGGGGATAATGGGTCAAATCTAATGGACATCATTGTTATATGATTTTTTCACACATCTACTACAATGAAGCCTTACTTTTCCATTCTGCTGTACATTCATCTTTAAAGCGCACCACTTATGTTTAGATGTATCCCAGAATGCATTATAAGCTCTCAGTGGTTTTAGCGAAGTTACTTTTACAATAATATATGTTTCACAAAATTTAATGTGAGATGGTGTGAGCATATTTGCTTGATATTCAACAGCATAATGAGCGTAAAAATTAGAATTTCATTTTTGATAATGATTTTTGTGAGCTGAGCTTTGGCCATGTAGTCTGTTTTGTAGCACGCAGTATGAGATGATGTGGAGAAAGACATAGATATCGTCTTTAAGCTGACAGAGTTTTTTTTTTGTTGTCATCTGCACCTCAAGGGTAGGAACCATGGGGAACAGTGGTTTGTTTACTATGGAGAGATTAAATGACCAGAATAAACAGAAACACAATCATTACTCACAAGTCAGTAAATTAGACTGTGGCAGAATGAAAGTTTTTTTTTTTCCTGACGTGCTATTGTGATGGATGGTGGTGTATATTCACAAAGGATTTAATTAGTTCAACAGAATGTTCCAGAAAAATAGGTTCCGTCCTTCTCGTCACCCAAGGCAAAGGTCCAGTGCACAACATGATTGTCTCATGGTAGCTAAGCATACATTTGTGTCCGTCCTTTTGAGTTATTACATAAGTAGGAATCCTGTTTGTCTGATTTGTGTGGAGCTGGCATCTTCTCTGTTTATATGGGCTTACTCCCCACAGTCTGAAAGCTCATAGCTCAGGTGAACCAGTGACTCGAAATCACCCAGGACGCACCTGGTGTGTTCCGGATTTCCATTTTCACAGATGTCTGTCGCACCGAAACGCAGCGATATTCCAGCCGCCTGTGCCCTCACTCTCACTGCTCCGGTCGCTCCTGAAACCTGACCCGGCCCAGACTTTGCTTGCCAGTACAGTCTGCATAGACCGCAGACGCTACCAGGTTCTTGCACATTTTTTTTTTGCCAAACAGTCACGACCAGTTTTGCACAAAGAAGCTTCCAACCAATGGCCGAGAGCACTTGGGGGTGAGTGTTAGAGACACTCCCCCAATCTGCAGCCCGGAATTTCAGCTGGAATGTGCATAATGAGAAATGTCATTCAGAAAGAATTTATAGTGGAGGGGGAAAATTGTGGAGTAAAAGGGTAATGAATAACAGATGGACCAGGTAGATCCCCCCCCCCCCCACCCTTTCCCCAGCATTCTTTCTCCATCCCTGACCCTTTTATGGTAAAGTCTTCAGACTGCGGGTTACAGCATCTATAGGTTGAAATTAATTCTTTTCCTCAGACTTTGTGGTCGTCTTTTGCATGCACTTGGCCGAGCCACCAGGCGCCTCTGCCTCCCTCTGAAACATTCTGAATATTTTTTTTACATGGAAGGCATCATCCAGTCAGGAAACCTGTGTATGTGTCTGGAATGCAGTGCCGAGTTGCAGTGTAGGTGCAGTGCATACATGATCATCACAGGCTTCGTCTTCTCAATGTTTGTAAGCCTGCTTAAGACTAAACATCGGACACTATAGTCTCATTTAATGGCACTTTTCCAGTTCCAGTACTGTTATTACAGTGATGTTCTGCAGCTGGTTCCTGATAGCACATTCGCCGATCAATCACGTATGTGTACCATCAGTGTCTGACATTTAGACACATTTTTGAAAATTGGCATATTTTCTGGTAGACCTCCATAGCTGCATCCTGCAGAAACACCTTTCAGGCAAGGCACTTCATCAGAAAAATTGCTATTTTGTTTTGTACATCCCACACATTAGGCTGTGTATGTATTGTCTTTCTATTGTATTCCTGTTGCATCTCAGGAATATTTCTGTATGGCTGTGAACAGCACATAGTATGAAAAGGTAAACCAATATTCTACGATTCTTAATGTTTTAAAAAAAAATTGGCTGAATGTACTGCTCCTGACTGATTTCCGTGATTGTTTCTGAAGATGCTCTGTCGATAATATACTGTTACATGTGTTCTGCATATCTAGAGCCTGCAGTACAATCCCTGATACAACATTATAAAACATCAAGGTTAAATCACATTGCTACACATGCCGCATCTCTCAGCTTCTTTGTCCATTTCACTGAAAAGGGTTTATGTGGAAAAAGCATTCAGAAAATGAAGTGTCATGTGACATTTACCCACAATCCCTAGGAAATAATAATGTACCACATGACCATTTTGACATTTTCATTTTTTTTGTGATAAAAGCCACATTTCAGTAATAGCATCCAATCCGCCGTGGGGATGTGGCTTTTGTGGAGGCCGCATTGTCCTTCACAAAACATACACAGACTAAAGTGCATCCAGCATCTCGATAACGGTTTGAATCATTCCCGATGACATCCAGGATGAGGTTGTCCACCGAGGACTTAAACACAAACTTAACAAATGTAGGGGTTTCACTTGTGACCTGCGTCCCTTCAGAATTGAATGCTATTTAGAAAATATTTTAAATTGCCTCATTCTACAGACGTGCAAATCTGACCACAAAGACCTTGTCAGCTTTCAAAAAAGAAAGGCTGAATCTATTAAGAGTGGCTTGTAAAGTATAATCACATTGTCTTCCCACTGAAGTGGGTCTAAACAATTGAACAATTGAAAAAAAAAATAAAAATTGTCAAATTGGGATGGATTAAAAAGCTTAAGATGTCTCTGCCGTGATGTAAAGTCACATCACAGAAGAGACCGTGTCAGCCTTGTGGTAAAGCGTTCACGGGTGCCGACAAATAGGTAGGCAGTATTTCACTAGTGGGTTTACCCAAGAGGCAATAAGAAGTTAGACAGATTTCAGTGGAGTATTATGTAATGCATTCATGAATCATCTCCTGCAGATCATGGCAGTGACCTTGCTGAAATTCAATTATGATAGGTCACATACGGGGCATGGAATTATTTCTGAAACATCTACTGCCATCTACTGGGCAGAATAATGACTTTTCCCAGCTGGGCCAGTTCATTATCTAAGTGTCGAGTACGTTGCTCGAAGTATTGAATATGTTATTTTCCAACTGTATATCCTGTTTATAAAAGCTCTTTTGCGTATAATCTGGATAAATACAAAAAAAAATTTTGTAAACAGGATAATTTTAAATTTTCACAAAATTTAAAATTGTATACAAATGACCAAACTTTATCTTAATACATAAAACTGCATTTGCCGCCAAGCCAGAAAGTTACAACCGACAATTAAAAGAAAGGTCAAGATTTCGTTTTAAGTGCACAGTCCTTACCTCCCTCCACCCAAACACACACACAGTTAGAGTAATAGGCACGTCAACACACAAACATACAACAAAAACATCGCTAAGGCATGTACAGCTTATAGAAGGACACTACAGAATGACTGAATCTGTGCAAAAGAAAAAATATCTAGTGAGTATAAATCAATAATACTACTCAAATTACACAGGAAAATGAGCATGCAACATTAAATTAACCAGTCAGTATTAAAACACTACCAAATAATGAAATGCTTCAGTACAATTCACAACATAATTACATACAAAAACCAGCAAGATATACAAACCACAAAAGCTGATAAATGGCACTTTGTTGCTAAAGATGATCAGATACATAAATTTCAATGACGGAATTTTAAGTGAGTAATATAAGTATAGCAGAGATTTTACATTTTACTATATAGCCACTGGATATATTTCATTGGTTGTGATTCAAGTATGATCCTTGCTTCTTACTTATAAGCTGGTATTTCACAGTGCAACTCAAATACTAGGTAGATGACAGCCTTGTCCTTGGGTTTAATGTTGGCCACACCTCCTCTCTGCACCCCATCATTCAGTCATTCTGCCCTTTGGTATCCCAGCAATGGGTCGGCATGGTTATGTCTTCAGAAAACACTTGACTGTGTCTTGCCACAGCCTCCAGAAGTGTTACATGCCGAACGACAAAAGGATGCTAAAGAAATGACATGAAAAACATCCACCAGTATAGTAACTTTTGAATTAGATAACACAAGACCAGTTAATTCTTTATAAAGGTGTTTCATAGTTGAATTTCCAAACATCCACTTTGGAAAAAATTGTGTTTCGTATTGCATAATTTTTATTTAAAATATTTATTAAACTGTCACTTATTCTTCTGATATCTTTTACCTATTTTAAAAGTACTTTATACAGTATATTTGGTAATGCTTTACAGTAACTGCACCTTCATAATGCCTTTGTAATGCATTTGTAGAATATTAATCACACCTTCATAATACATTCATAAGCAGCATGTAATTGTACCTTAACATCCTAACACACCTTAACAGCTTTAATATACATTAATTGCAAACATTATTTGATAATAACAAACAACATACAGTAATCTTATGTTTATTTTTTATTCTGTTTATTTGTGCATATTAAAGCTGTTAAAGTATGTTTGGATGTTATACTACAAATGCATTATAAAGGCATTATGAAGGTGCAGTTAATGCAAAGCATCATGGTATATTTATATACATCTATCCTATCTTCAATATCTACTCATCCAGCACATGGTCATGCCATACTTACATACACAGTATATATTATATACTTGTTTCTGATACTATAACAACTTCTATTATCAAAATGTTTCAAAAGTAAAAAAAAACACTTTTTAAAAGACCTTAACAGTTGTAGCCAATGGATTTGTGACCGATAACTTCCAATTTATTTTTTTAATGTGACATTCACTGCAGTGACATAATGCTCAGATTTAACCATCCAATGAAGTATATCCAGCTAGCTGAATATACTTCATTGATCTGACACCTTTATTCAGATTTCTTCCAAGGAAACAATTCCGATATTCAGATGCTCAACCATATTACCGCAGAGTTGCTGGGGCCTGATGCAACAGCCCTTGAATTAAAGTTTACACCCTTAGCCTCTATGATGTCTACTGTCCACGATGCTTTCGGCTGATTTTCATATAGTGCAGTAGAAATGGCTCATTTTTCTTTGGGCACACCTTCAGTTAAGGAATGTTCTAGTTTTGACCAAAATGTGGCATTTCTTAGAATGCGGCAACAAGGTAAAAATCACCCTTTACAATTACTAAATCTTATGACATATTTAAGTGGCCGATAGCCTGCGAAATTTACCAATATCCACAGATTATCTGACATATAAATAATGTTGGAATGATGGAAATAAAGAATTTGCATTAATTCCATGATTTAACTAACAAGCAGCTTTTTGATCCTCCTACCACTAGAGGTCAATACAACCAGCTATGCTCCTTTATATGCACAGACACCATTCCCACATAATCTGAACCGTGAAAACTGCATAAAGAACATATAAACCATTTCAATTAAAACAATACATTTAAATTAATTTACACTAGTGCTCCCAAATCCCCCCAATGCAATTTTTTTTACAACTAATTATCAAGCAAATATATTTCCCTAACCTTCTATATACTTCAAACCCTCTAGTTTTACGCAGATATAATGATTGTTTGCTTAGGCCCATTATAGTAAGATAATAATCGGATGAATAATAGGGTCCCACCAAAGCCTGCTGCCATACATATGTTACCATAGCAGAAGGAACAGCAGTCAGTATGCTTGACTGCCAGCTCAGCTGCCACGTTTTGCTGACTGTCCGCAGCTCTCGGCACTGACATACGGAGAGCTTATGTCCCCCCATAACAGTAAAAAAAAGTAGCAGTGTCACAAATAGCTATAATAATTATTGTACGTTAAAGCTAAAATTGGTATAATCGTCTGCGTATAGAGGAAAAGGTATGACCCTATAAGTTAAACCTATTATTCTTTGCTGCGTTTTACAGATAAGTTTTTCCTCTTCATTTTGTACCTCAAGGTTAGAAATATTTGCACCAAATATAAGTGCATTACCAGCGCTCTAAAGTGTACCGTCGAGGCACAAGGTAGAGAGGAGCTGCCTTTTGATTCGGAACAAGCAAAGGACGACCTCAAGTGGAGCACGCTGGCACGTCGTCAGCATCCGCGTAGAGGGAAGCTACTCCCCCAGCGCACGCTTGGCTTCGGCTAATTGGCTGCTCGGTGCTCGATATCCAGTCTCCTCTGAGCCGAGCCTCGCCTGCGGGCGGCTGGGGGGCTGCCAGTTCTCAGGGTCCCCGGCGTCTGGAAGAAAGCCTGCCTGTCGCCTGGGCTGGCCCCCTTCAGAGTCGGCAGTGTCTATGGTCAGGAAGAGGACGGGGAACATGAGGGTCTGCAACTGCAGGAGGAATAGCTCTCCTTTCTTTACCAAAGAAAAATAACCAGCTGCCATAGCAACACTGTTCCTCAGTCCAGAGTGAACATGCACATGGAACAGAATCCAAATAAAATGTGGGTTTTAACATAGCAATTTCTGCACAATTCAGACACACTTAGCCAGAAAAAACTCACTCCTATAAACAGTAATTAAAACACGCAAACACCTTTAACATAGCTAGATTAAATGTACAACATAAGAAAGTACTGTTAATGGATCCCAACCTATGTTTTGCATTCTCTTAGAGAGTCATTCGCCTGTTTTTAAAGAACCGCACTTAAAATGTCCGTTATGAAAAGTCAGAAGCACAGTCACTAATCTATAAAAGGAGATTGGTACTTTTCTACAAATAGATACACTTCTTAGGAACAGAGGCAAAGAACGAAAGCGTGTCGTTATATTCAGGTTAATATTTTTTTCTCAGGAACTTTATATCCATCTATAAAGGCTTATAATTTTAGACCATTTTATAGTGCTTTTTTGGAGCAGAATAAAGCATCAGCCATCAGGGTTAGCAGAGTCTGCTAAATGTCCCAGAGCTAAATCGGCTTCTTAACATTTTGCTGTCTGCTCGTTGGTTTGTTACAGCATGTACGGATATAGTGCTGTCACACCTTTGAATGGAAATTTTCATGTAAGAAAAAGAATTCCCCCAAGCCCATCACAAATGCCAGAATACAGCTCTCGCAGTCGGAAGAATCCCTTTGGACTTGTGCCCTAATTCTTTAATAAAAACAGACTATAGTTATAGACTGTATACAGGTTAGGCGCAGGCGGCGTACTTCGACATCCTTCGTGGGCACGGGAGCTGCCGCCTGCAGCCCCGCTGGTGAACCCGGAGGGGCGGAGGCCTGCATTAGGGGCTGCTCCGGACCGGAGACGGAGGCGGGGGGTCCCGAAACTGCGAAGGGTCGCGACCCCACAAAGCCACACGGGGCCAGCCCTGCCGGCGCGTCACAGCTGCAGCCGCCGGCGGGAGGGTGGGACGCCAAGGCGCAGGAGGGCAGCAGGACGCAGGGCAGAGCCAGTGCGGTCACTCCGCCATCCGCCACGGGAACGTGTCCAGAAGAGAGCAGGAAACTCAGGCTGTGCGGCGTCCCTGGGAGACAAGAGAGGACATAATCAGCGGAATAAGATTAAACCCGAACTTAATGTTTAAACGACTGTTAAATTATGGTCAACATTTAGCAGCTGTGTAGCAAACCTAGCAAAAAACGACGCACAATATTTACTAAATAAATATGATAAAGATGAAGCTGTGTAGTGAATGAGGAGGCGGAGCTGTGGGTGGAGCCTCCAGCCTGGGATGGTGCCGCACGGGGGCTGTCAGGATGCAGAGTGCTGCCCCGCCCCCCTCCCCGCCCCAGGCGCATCGCTCCCCCCGACTGCGCAGGCAGTACCCAGCTAACAAGCGCGCAGCGAGTCCTGAAATCTGTTTGTTTCCTTCACGACTGCCTGAAAGTGCCTTTTACGGCAGAGACGGGGAGAGGAAGCAGGCGATGTGACAGCGCCTCCGTGACGGTGTGGCCTCTTGGCTGCAGCCACGCAGGATTAATTAGGATTTGTGTTTCACAATATGGGACCATATTGCTGAGGGATTGCAGTCAGCGTGATGCGGCAGGAGGGGCATTTCCCAGGCCAACTCCGCTAACGATACTCATGGTTCTTTTTCATTACCCATCTTGGTTATGATCAGTCACGGTAGCTCGTTGTCGATTTTAATTGACCTGCACTAGAAGCCAGTGCAAGTCATGTGACAGCTGAAGCATACCTGGCAAGACGGGGACATACAGGTAGTGCGAGGATGGGTAGGGTGCAGGAACACTGTGCGTGTTGGCCTCGTCGCCTTTAGGGGGCAGCAGTGAGTGCACCTCAGGGACCTGGTAGCCTTGCCTGGGGGACACCCGTGGATGGCACCTGTCCATGTTGCTCCACATTTCCACCTGCTCAGAGAAACCCTAGAATTTAACCAATGAATTGTGTTTATTTCCATCAAAGCGAAGGTAAGAAGCTAATTTGACTTTGGCCAATCAAGACCAACACGGTAATGAAACAAGTAGCTGCAGAGGAGAAAAATAATAGGTTTCTGCTCCCCACTTAAGTGCTTATGGAAGTTCTGCTGCTGATGGCTACATTTCAGGGCCAAAACCGAATGAGCTTCACACTTCGTTAAATAAAGTCAACACATTGCAGGGTCAGTGGTCATCCCCCATCCGCACGATAGGTGGCAGCACAGTCGGTTTTGAGTTGGGTGTGATGAGAGCACCTCACTTTATTCCGTAATCAGAACGTCTCTGTGCAACATGAACTGCGCAGCAAAACAATCAGACCATGCTCTGGGCTGTGTTTAAATGAACATTTTCAAAATGATAATAGTTTTTAATTACAAACAGAAGTACTGTAATCAGTGAAAATGAATTGGTTTATTTTCTACTTGATTAATAGCATTTTTGAACTGAATTAAATGCAGAAAAGAAATTCCCTTGTTTTATTTCATACAAAAATAAGCAAACCAGCAGGACCTTATAAGTGAAAACCAAGAAATGAACAACTTCCATGCCTTTGAATATAAGGCTGCTTCACTTCATAGTGCTAAATGGTTAACCCTTCTAATACATCACCTATCACAGGAGGGCTAACGCAGACATTAACAGCCATGTCAAACACACTTTTGTCTGTACTCAAGATGTATGTGCAGGCATTAATTTCAGGGGGCTACTTAACATCCACTATATAAGCCATATTAATGTCTACCGCATATAAACCAACATAAGAAATATTGGTCAGGATAATGTAACTAGCTACCCCATATTCAGACAGAAGTCACCTGCTGATAAACTGCCGTTACTACGGATCAACTGCCTATTGCCATATTTAGCCAGTGTTAAAAGGTCAAAGGAAGTTGTAAAAAACATCATCCAATCCTCATTTCTGATGTCTCTTCACAGTTCACAATTGGCTTTTTTTAAATGGCCGACGAAACCCTAGTAACACCAGGTATGACTGCCTGATTGAGGGCCTTAGCTTATGTGACGTAACCTCACCTTCGGAGAAGGCTCTTCCTCATGATTGGCCAGCTGGACCCTCTTGGCTACTGGCCCCTCCTCCTCTACAGTCCTCCTCTTTCCCAGGAATCTCTTGCTGGGCTCACACAGAGAAGGCCTCTCTTCACTCTCCCTCCAGTGTGCTGCTTTACCCCCATAGAGTAGGAAAACAGAAGCCTGGGGCAGGTAAGGAAGGTGAGACAGTGGGTGCTTCTTGATGCTTTGGAGGGTGGGGCACGTGGACATGACCTGGGGGCAGGCCTGGCCAATTGATGGGTAAAAGCTGGTCAGGGGGAGTGGCCTGCAGGGACCCTCAAGCACTCCAATTGGACTGGGAATGGGGGCATGGCACTCTGGTCTGTCCTTCACAGTATCGACCCTTGGTTCATCACAGTTCTGGATTCTAAAGACCAATGACAAAGCAGACCATGCATTTGGTAATCCCTATCATAACCATAAATACTGAGAATTACATATCTCAATGAGTGAATTACATGTACTGTAATTTAATATACATATATTTTGTTGGTGCCCAATGAAAAACATGCATGTCCGAAAATCCATTATTTGAGGACTGTGGAAATGTAAACAAACAAATAAAACATTGTAATGAGAAACCCTTGGGACCACAAACAGAACCCTCTTTTTACACAGCCGTCAATGAAAAATTTAATGCCTGACTTATGTGGATTGTTGTCAGCGAGGCAAATATGTCAGTACCAACAAAATAGAAACAAATCTCACTTTATATTCGCAATTAGCAATGATGTTAGTTAGCTAGCTATCAACATTGTTAAAATTAGCAATACAAAGTAATCCTTAATAATCCATACAAACAAGTAGTGCTTGTTAATAAAACGATCTCGATTTTTTATCGATAAAAAATGAGGACGATCACGATGATACACACAGACTATAAAACTCGATCAACCAAGTTTGCTATGTTTTAGAGAATGCGCTGAGACAGACAACTCGATGGCTGATCAAGCAGAGGTTTACTGAACGCCAGCACATCAGCCAATGACCGACGACGTTGTAATTTTGCCCATCCTCCCTTATACTGTAGAAGCAATGGGTGCGTTCGACTTGGGCTAGGTCTGTCTGCAGCTGACTCGACGTGGAGCGCGATCTTCCGGCGGCTGCAGGGATGGAGTATAAACTGACTGCGACCAAGTCGGACAAGTTCTACTCCTCCTAGTCACCCAGAAGGGTGTAGATAAATCTATATAAATATCACCTGCATGCACATTACTTCTTTTACAATAACCAACTCCTGATACAAACTGTTAGCAGTGAATAAAACTATTGTGTATAGTGGCTCTGTGTAAAAAGATAGCTGCCAGGAAAAAGATCAAATATATATATTTCAAGGATTCAAAGTTTTTATTGTCATGTACAGAGTACAATGCAATTTTTACTTGATTGCCTTCTTCACAGACTGGATGATTAAACAAATAAAGCAGCGCAACATTACAGTAACAATAAATAAACCACTATGTTAGAGCATTTATGTAATTTATTTAAACTTTATTTTACCAGGTAAATGAACTGAAAACCAGTTCTCACTGCTTTACGTGATATTCGGGAGAAATAGCAGATAAAGCAATGGAACTTCCTGGGATACAAACTTCATGCGTGTGACTAAAATCTTCAGCCAATAAGGGCAAAGTTGTGTCGTCACGGAGGCGGTTCCAGTTTGTGCTGCACGGTCTGTCTCAAGTCGTCTTGCTCTCGCGAGGATTTTGTACCATGTGACATGGTGACGCGTGGTGACGTTTTGCAGCGCCAGACAAAAGAATCTAACCATGATTTGGCATTTTTTTGAATAAGTGTTTTTTGTTTGGTTTAGATACTTTTCTACCTCAGAATTTTAAACAGTCTTTAAGAGACCAAGTTCTGTCCTGCTTTATTTTATGTTTGCCCTTTAACATATTTGCAATATTACACAGTTTTGCACATTGTTGCATTATTATATTATATTGTTCATTTGAGCTATGTTTCTTTGAATACTTGAAAATCAATAACCTTTTATAATTTTAAGGGAATTTTGTATATAAACAGTAAAATTTGTTGGAAAATAAGTATTTGTTTACTAATATTGTTTATTTCCATGTATGCATTATTCATTCCAAAATAGGGTTCTTTTTTATTATTATTTTGATTATTACATTATTACATGGAACAGCATTGTGAAACTATAATTTTGATAATTATCGATATCGGTCAATACAGGAAAAAATATTGTGATAATTTTTTTTGCCATATTGCCCAGCGCTACAAACAAGCATCATGAACACAAATGTTAACTAGCACAAACGTAACTAGTTAATAAATTACTTCATAAAGCATCTTTTCATTGGTTAATCGTATTTTAGGGGTGCAATGGATCAGAAAAGTGCCGGTTTTGATTGCATCACTTTTTGAGTCATGGATCATTTTTTGGATCAGCAAAAAAATAAAGAAATACAAAGAGAGACAAATTTCCAATTATTGCTTGACTTAGAATATAGAGCATATAGAACTTATAACACAGAACTTATAGAACTTATAACACAGAACTTATAGAACTTATAACACAACCGCTTTGTCCCTTTCACTGCAACTCTGCATCGTACAGAAGTCCACAGACAACATCCAGCATCATCATCTTCTCTTATGTTGAGATCACAACTTATTTTTTTCTTGTAATCTCAAATAGCAAAAGTTGTTTTTGCAAGAGCACGAGTTATTTTCTTGAGATCACAAAAAAAACAAAAGTTATCTCCGAAAAACAAAAGCTGTAATTAGACACGCAAGCAGCGTTTGTCAAGAGAAAGCGGATTCCAGTAAAAACACTCTGTCTAATGCTGTTGAGTCCGTACAGTTGTTTTTATTTCATTTCCATTGAAAATCTAAAATTCCCTCCATGTGCTACACATAAGGGGAGAAGTCTCCCTCTTATCAGAAATGAATTTCAAGCCCTGAATGCATGTCCTTTATGGACTTTCGTAGCATCAAGATTTAGGGAATTATTACTTTAAAAAATAACAACAGCAGTAAATCTGTATTTCATGTATAGATACTCCCTGGGTTACGATGGGGTTATGTTCCGATAAGGCGAAAATATCGTAAGGCGAAAATGCATTTTCATACAGTACACCTAACCTAACAAACATCATAGCCTAGCCTAGCCTAGCCTAGCTTAAACATGTTTAGAGCATTCACATTAGACTACAGTTGGGCAAAATCATTAACATAAAGCCTATTAATAATAAAGTGTTGAATATCTCAGTTGTTTAATTGTATTGAATAATGTACTAAAAATGAAAAACAGAATGGAATTGGAATACCCATCGTAAAGTCGAAATATCGTAACACGGACCATCGTAACCCAGGGAGCATCTGTATTTCATTGTGATTAAACTTTGCATTTAATCCATGGTTCACGGGGGGCAAACCACGGGGGACGATCCATAAGGATCAAGGATTAACCACGGTCCCTCACACAACAAAAAAAAATATTATTTATTTACAATTTTGGATATATTTTTCTCAGTGAACTTCCATATATACACATATTTTATGCATATTCCTTTGCCCTATGTTTGTATAGTATAGTTATTTTATGCTATTCATGCCATTTCAGACGCAGCTACTTAACTTGGTATTTCTGCTACCAACTTCCACAAAAATCCCCGATCCTTATATTCATCCCTCCATTACATTTTCATATTCCAACAATAAGACATAAAAAGTGGTTTCAAAGCTTGACCAGCAGCACACGTCTCGCTCTGCAGCCTGTAGGTTTGTAGCGGGATCCCCTTTCCCAGTAAGCCGCACGCAATACCGCTGGGAACGAACACGTGCGGAAACACCAGCTGATCCCGCAGCTGTCCACAACAGTGACACCGCAAAATGTAGTCAGGGAAGCTCGGGGACCGGGCGACATGGGAAACAATGCAGTGCACAGCGGCAAGCCGTGACTAATCCAGCCACGCCGCGTGTGTTTGCACGGCACCTTCAGAAGGCTCGCATGCGGCGTATGAAAACCCCCGCGCAGGCCGGGAGCCAAAGCACTACAGGTCCACCCAGACTATTAACAAAACAGGTCAGGCCAGCTCGAATATAGCATCTCTGTAGCTCAGCCATCGCGATTTGGGGTAGCCTTTTAATGCTTCATATTCACGCAACTGTGAAGAAATGTAATTGTAAGAAACGTAATATATTGTGTATTTCTCTGGCATCCACTGGAACTATTTATTTCATTTCTGTTTGGGGTTGAAACAATTACAATAAATTACAAATTTGTTGAGATCAATTACTTTGGCAGTAAAGTAATGTGACTATAAATGAATTAAACAAAATGTAAGGTCAGTGGTTGATAGCTTTAATTGTACGTACATGTTTTTACAGTTTGCTTGTTAGCTAGACTGATAAGAGTGGTCTTGACTCTGATCCTAGTTTCATGCCTATAGAGACTGCAGGTTCTCCTGAGCTCTGCCTGAGGTTCTATATGGATTGTGCTAAGCGTGCACACATGTGTACATGCGTGACACGCAGAATGGACTGGCGTGCAAACAGAAGGGCGTCAAATGCAGGTGCGTGTGAGATCTGAAAGAGGCTTGTTTTTGCTTGTCACACCTCAGACCTGTTGGTCTGTTCTATTGTATGGGCTTTTAAACTGAACCAGATGATTATTTTTAACTTTTTTTTCACTGGGGGCTGGGGACTAACCCCCTTCACACTAATAGCTGCCTGGTTAAGCTCAACCTCCAACAACACAGATCTCGAAGATGTTCTCTTAATACAATCCGCAGATTCCCATGAATTCATGTATCTGAAAAATAGGTTATTTTTTCTGCATCGTCCATTTTTACATATTCTAATTACCCCGCAACCTGGACCAGGATATGCATATTAGATGATGGATGGCTGGATCAATGGGTGGGAATTACCCCATTCGCTGTAATTTGCTGGATAGTGCTTTTCAAAATGCGCATGTAGAGGTGGCAACACAATTCATTGTTTCCCATAAAAATATGGCAATAAAGCTGCTGGGGTCCTTGTCAGGACTCACCGCTGGCCGTCCTCAAGCTGCTGTCGGCTTGCGGCCTTTCTAGAATAATCCACCGGCTGGGGAATTGGACCTGGTCAGATCAGAGAAGCACAAAAAGTTATATTATGAGACGGCCCAGCTTCTGAAATACTAACTGCTCGGACATCCATGCTTATAAATAAGTTATAAACATTCTGTAGAGAATTCAGCAGCCAAAGCTGACCATTAGAGAAATTAATCCAGCCTTCTGTGGGGCTTTAACTTTTGTTTTTTTCTTTTTTTTTGAGATATGGCATATAGTGAGCTCATTTGGAGACACTGTGGCCAAACTGAGTCTGCCCCATGGAGAAGTCTATGGGAAATCAAGATGCCCTTACTGGTCCGACCACAGGGAGGGCTGCAGGGGGCGGAGCTGGCCCGTCGCTCGGTGGCAAAGGGGGCGGGTCTCTCATTGAAGGAGGGGTATCCCACGATATGCTTCCTTCCCCCTGATACGCCAAGGTGACTGTCGACGTGGCAAGCTGAGTAGATGGCTGCAGCTGGCAAGTCACCTAAAACACATTAAGAAGAGTCTGGAAGCTTTACACTAAACTTGGGGGGTCTTATCAAGGAACTGAAGATTAGCACGATGCAAATTCAGTTGTCCTGTGACACGGTGAATATGGAGGTGGACTCCACGACCTTGGTAAGTGTGCATCCCTAAAAAGCACCAAGATCCAGTCTATGCACTATCCCTGTCCAATTAACCAATGAAATTGCTCTTTTCTGTGCCCTTAGAATCCTGGTGCTATGTGAGGGTTGAGGTTCACTGTTGGAAACATAACTGAAGATCCAGGTTGGAGCACTTTAGCCTTCTCTCATCGATGTGGAGGCGGCCCCACTCACCACCACAGGTCACCTCCACTGGGCCCGTCCATCTGAACGCTGGCTTCTTTCCCCGCTCCTCCTTCACCTGAACTTTCTCGATGAGGCCCAGGCTCGTCAGGACGTTGGCGATGTCGTAGAGACGCCTCACCTTCGCTGGAGACGTCGACGAGGGAGATCACAAGTCAGATCTGCACTTTACAGACAGTGAGTCAGAAAACAGAACTGATGTCTTAGAGGGAATGGACATCGTGAAAAGGTGTTGAGGTCATACTCAAGAGACAAGAGGTTTTTTTCCAGTGTGGGGAAGTGAGATGTTTTAAAATTTAGCCTAAGTTTATTTTTCGGACCCAGCATTCAATACAAAGAATCTATGAACACATTCATAAAACATTATACTGCCTTCATAAAGCATTATAAACATGGCTATAAATATTTATACAAAGGCATAACACATTACAGCAATCTTTATTTTCATTACAAACGCTCTATGAATCTCATATATAATGCACAATAGATACCTTTATAACGCAGTACGAAGCATCCTGAATGCTTATACCGACTATCACAATACATAACAAAGGTGTCTGTAGTGCATTACAGATGACAAGTATTGTGTTACCGCAGTGTTTCCCCTACCATTATATTATATTCCCCCCCCAACAGCACCCCCCGCCCCCCCTTGAAGGTCAAATTAATTCGATTTTATTTTATTTTCTATATAGCGCCAGATCACAACAGAAGTCATTCGAGGTTACCTTTCCTATCGAACAGGTCTATACATGGTCCTTTTATTAAACAAACTAAATAGCCTTATGTTATTTATCTTTACTGCTGCCATAAAAAGAAACACAAGAACATCATGAATCCATCTACCCCCCCCCCCCCCCAAAGCTGTAAACCTAGGGGAAACACTCTACCGGTTCTTTTTTCTGTGCTGCAATGAACTTGATTTCATATGAAGGGGGGGGGGGTGGCTTCCTGTGTATCAGTCCAGCTATCTACTTTTGCCAACGACCCTAACAGACAAATCTTTGGTGTGATCTGATTAAAGTTACACAGCCAACGACCTCCTGCCACTTCCTGATGAGATTACAGCTACGTTACAGCTTTGGTCAGATCGCTCAGCTGCACTGCAGGAGCAAGACGCTGACCTCAAAATAAAAGTCACGGGTCAATTAAAGTCACCGGCACCTTCACACATTTATAAAGCTGGTTGGATACAATGCAATTCAGGTCCATTCCTTGTTCAAAGGTACATCAGCAGGATGCTTTTTGGGATCTGAACCACTGACCCTTAGGATAGTAACCTGCATCCTTTAAACCTGATGCCCGTTACAAGTGCCAGATCAAATTTATATTTTATTTATTTAGCAAATGCTTTTATCCAAAGTAATGCACATTTTGTTGAGAAGGCAGAGTGAGACAATCCCTGGAGCAGTTAGGGGTTAGGGGCCTTATTCAGGGGCCCAACAGTGCAATCACACCACTGACTCTGGGATTTAAACCACCAACCTTCCGATAACACAGCTTGCTAACCTGCTGGGCCACACAACCATCTCCAGATGACGCATTCAGGAAAACAAGAAGAGCCTCACTTTTATACTTGCTGCGGCTGTCGGTGTCTTGGCTCTCGTCAATGAGGACTCGGGTTGCCAGGTCCAGCGTCACAGTCTGCATCTCCGACACCAGGAAGAGCGTCACAAACTTCTGGCTCAGGAAGCGCAGGGACTTGTCCTTGCGTCCACCAGCCGCCCCTATGGAGGAACGGTGTGAGCTACCAAAGCTGCCAAGATTAGGCCATCAGAGCCCTTTGGACCAGTCCCATGGACACCTTCAACCAGAGCTGACACGTGAGCAGAACTGACTCTCCATGCTGCACCATAACTGTGATGGAAATGTAGGATAAAATGCTGAACTGAAAGTCAGTCAATAAATTAATCTTGTGTTGTGTGTAGCATAAGCCTTCCCTGACAAAGGCGATAATCGCTGGTTAGGCAGCCAGAAACTGACACCAGGTTGCTTGTCTGATATCGCCGATTACTGATAATGAGAATCAGAATCTTTTTATTCGCCAAGTACAGAGAAGTACAAGGAATTTCTTTTGGTGCGGGTGGTATCATGACATAAACAAAACACACATACAAATGAACATCTAAAAGTAAAGATACAAGGATTTTTTATTATTATTATTTTTTTTTACAGGAGATGTGCAATGCTGAGTCATATCAGTCATAATGTCCTCATATCACCCAGAAGTACTCCAACACAGTTTAATTTTGTAAAGAAACATTGTGGCTGTGTAGGGTGATTTCATTCAAGCATGTTCAGGCAGACATAAGTAGGATCAGAAGTACATTGGATACACAGAAACACACACACCATCAAAATAACAGGTTTTTTTTATCACATTGTGGAATGTCCCCACAATGTAATGTAATGAATACCTGGACCACACATAAGCACACACACACACCATCCCCCAGGCCCAAACGCCGGCCACTTCCTCTTACCAAAGCCAGCCTCCGCATAGCCTTCCTGCACAGCTGCCTCCCCCGTCTGCATGCGCTGGCAGTCCTCCTCCTGCAGGGGGCAGCACTGCCTCCATCCCGAGCCGCGCAGCTCGCTCAGGGTCTCCCGCAGCCTCTGCCGCCCATGCCAGAGGTACTGGTTCTTTGCCACACGGCTAACCAGCTTCAGAGACTCCAGTACGTTCACGATATCATAGAGCCTCCGGCGCTCGGCCCCTGATGTATGGGAGCAGGGGGAGGGCGATCAGACTCGGGGGCGCAGAGGAGCAAAATCATAAACAAAGCAAAAATACAAGGAGGCACACAATTATATTCCGGCAAAAACACACCACTGCCGTCTGTCACAACGAGTGAACAAAAGCACCTTTCCTCTGAATTATAGAAAGCCTAAAAAAAAGGAAAGGAGAATTTTAAAGAGAATTAAAAATGGGGTCCTTCATTTTCCTGGGTCTTACCGAGGCTCACGGCTACTTCGTCGAGTGGGATGCTTGTTGCCTCAGAGGATGCTGGGTAATCAGGGTACAGGGCCAGGAACTTCTGACACAGGAGGCCTAAGCTTTTTCGTTTCCTGCAGGGCCTTTTCTCGACGTCATCTGCACTCTCACCAGGCACCTCGAACTAAACCAAACACGCAAAAACAGACACGTGGACTAATCAGTGAGGGGAGGTATGCAATCATCCATCCATCCATCCATCCATCCATATACCCGCTTGTCCTACTCAGGGTCACGGGGGTCCGGAGTTTACCCTGGAAGCTACAAGCACAAGGCATGGAAAACACAATGATTGGGCACCAACCCATCGCTGGGCACACAATTCGCTCAAGCACACTGCACTAAACCACTGACTGAAATCAAACAAACAAATATTTGTGGTCAGTGTGTGAACTCAGAGACAGGCTTGCTATGGAAAACGGAAATGTACTGCTATGCTTCAGATTATCTCTTGTTTGTGGGGGTATGTGGGTGTGTGTGGGGGTAATCACATGACCCTACCTGGCTGGGGTCGTCCGGCGCCACCCCCTCATTCTTGTTCTCAATGGGTCGGAACAAGACCTTTCTCATCTCGCGGTCGCGCATGTCCGGACTGGCGGCCTGGATCAGCACCTTCAGATTGGCGGTGGGTGAACATGGCTCAGCAACCACCTGGTCCACCTGTTTGGTGGGAGTGGCGTGGAGCTGCTCAGAGGACAACGCCCTCCTCCCTATCGGCACACTAGCCACGCCATCGCTCTTCAGCGGGACCTTCCTGCGTTCCACTGGGGGGTGGAAAACATTTTCCTGCCAAGGGTGTAAGTTAAATATCATTTGAAACCAGTAAAAGTGCACAACCATTTAAATATACATACACAATAATTACCTAAACCTAACATTTTAAGTTGATATTAGCCAATGTAAAAATGAAATGTGCCAAAATTTTAAATCTCTTTGGAAAAACTTTAACAATGTACTGGAAATACGTAACAAAAACGACCATCAACAACTACAACCTATTTCTTCTCATCATCATCATCATCATTATTATTATTATTAAAGGGACGCGTGTTTTTGACAGGAAACACTTGCCTTATGACCATTTTTGACCTCATCTCCATCCGTTGCGGATTTGCTCTGACCGGGACATGTTAGATCTTTCAAAGCTACACACTCACGTTCCATCTGCAAATGAATAAGATAAAAAGTACATAACTGAAACGCTGCAACTTTATAAATGTCGTACTTACCACGTACACCAATCAGCTTACTTTCTCTGTACATCTACAAACATTTTTAATATAAGTTACAAAGGCATGCCACCAAATTGCCGCCTAGTCAACATTTTCCGTTCTATTAAGAGCACTTTCATAAGTTATTAATAACTTACTCGGTTTGGTTTGGTTGGTTCTGGCGCAAAGATATTAACTTCTAGACGTGACATACCGAAAGTTGAAAAAAAATCTGTTCCTGCAACTTTGATCGTGTTAAAAACCGCTAAGTAATTTCGACTGAATCGGCGTTGAATCATTTTCAAAAATTCATAAATATCAGTTACTTTTAGACCTCGTCTAGAATGGGTTTCCACCTAGTTAAATGTTTTGCTAAGTTACATTAGTAATTCTACGACTTTAAAAATTTACAGTAGTCAACAATGCAGTTTAACTGTTCATATTAGGCACAGTTTCAAGCCTTTTCGCCGAGTTATAATAATTTAAACAGCATTACTTATTTTACATAAAATGGGAAAGCAGTGCAAAGCCCCCCTTCTGCTCTGCAACTGTTTCATTTTTTCATTTTTCAGTAGCCACTTACCTTAACTGATTTTCCAGCCATAAATCAGCTATCTACAGTGCACGTATCTAATCAGATGTCTGAAAGCAGCATATATACTATTACAGATCTCCTTCTTCAGATGTGCATATTTTCCGCAGTGAACTCGAGAGACCGCCGCAGATTCGCGCTCGCCCGGCCTTTGCCCCGGTCCTGTCCCACACGTACCCGCCGCGCACGGCACAGCCAGGCAAGACGCCCGCTAAACTCCGCGTTTCTGGCGCTCTGCAGAAGTGCGGCTTCGCCCAGCCAATCAAAGGGGCGGCCCGCCGATGTGCGCTCGCGCCGCATCCGACTCACTGCGGCCGCTGGCGCGCGCTATCCGGCTCTCAGGGCTACGCCCCTTCGTCCACTATCCGGCGCGTGCCGGGTTGCACGGGCTTCTCAAAACTTAGTCTTGTCAATATCAAAGTATGAAATAACTCCGCAGGCCTGGTTAATAATGGTAATTTGTGGGACTTTAATGGTTTTGGGTATTAGCGGGGTTTCTTTTGAACAGTCTCCGGTTTTTTTGGCTTTGCCAAATTGCGCGGAAAAATGCCTCGTCTCCATTCCCGGGGTGTAGATCGCTTCTGGAGGCTATTGCATAATCAGCGGCAAAGCGCCACGTGATTGGCCCGGGGTTGTCGTTTCGTCGCGCTAAATACTATTATAGGGAGAACTTAGGGAAAGTAAGTCATTTACATTTTTCCGTGTTATTTATAAACAGAGAATTTTAAAAAGCAGGGTTGCCAACTTTGGTCAGCTGGCTGGAGTGAGACTTTAAATTCGAGGAAAGTCTGCATACACATTCACATGCATTTCCATATATGTAACAGTTTTATTACCGTGTAAATAGACTGCAGGGTTTGTAAATTACTCCAGCGTTTTTGATGTAGCTAAATTTAAAGTTATAATGGAATGATATATATTTGCCGTAAGAGTTCTTACGCGAGCGTGAGAATCTGAAAACATGAGTGTCACGCCAGATGCAGAGGAGTTGGCAGCCCTTCAAACTTCCATTGACGGCATCTCTTTCGATATTATAGTTTTTCTCAGTCGCTTTGGCACATGACTCAGATCAGAAATGAAATTCTCATAACTATTTCTACAATCTCATAAATACAAAACCTCATTTTTTATCATATTGTAAATGCTTTGAATTGATGAATTGCTCTCAGTTGGATCTTGACTTTAACCAATAGATGGGTGATCTACCAGTGATAAACCGGTTCGCTAAAGTAGCTCAGAGGTGCATCTCATGAACCTTCAGTTGGCAGCCTATATTGACTGAGCACAACACAATGTTACAATTTGGCAATGGAAGAACAACAAGGAAATGAACAGGGTCAGCAGCCGGTAAGAAGAAGAGGAGTAAGGCTCCTTGGTGGAAGGGTAGGGAGGCAAAACAGAGGAAGAGGTAGAAGAGGCCAAGAACAGAGGCACCTTCCTGATGAAATAAGGCGCACAATTATGGACCATGTCCTCAGTTATGGCCTTACAATGGCTGAGGCTGGTGCAGCCGATTGTTGGGCGAACAACCGTGTCCTCAATCATTCAAACATTTCAAAAAGACAACAGGTATGTAATCCAACAATGTACTGTAATATTGTATACGTACTGAAGTGGGTCATGTTGCAGTATTCCACTTGTATTTTATAGTGTACAGTAAATATGCTTTATACAGTTACATACTGGGCATATACTGTAGCACACACATATGTATGCATATTTACAGTGTGCACATATGTATACATTTGTGTGTGTTTGTGTGGTACAGTATATATACAGTATATGTAATTTTGTATTGTTGAAATTGATATATGTCATACAGGAGAAGTACAACTTTGTGCATTTTCAGTCATTGTCATCAAAACCTAAGCCATATTTTACATCGGAATATACTTACAGAGTACACTGTTCTGTTGAAAACGTGGCTAAACATTTTGACCATCGTGTTTGTGAATGACGACACAAGGACTCGTCATTCTGGTATCACTGACAAGTTCATTGACATAAATATTTGCTTTTGAGAGATAAACTAACAATTTTGAGAAAGTTGCAGGCTTTTGCAGGTGATCCATCGTGTGGTGCTGTTTGTACGAACTGTTCCAAGAAATGTCACTTACTGTTTTGCAAATATTAAGGATGATTCGAGAAATGCACCAAAGCGACTGAGAAAAACTGTAAAACCCGAATTTTCCGAGAAGCTGATAAGCTCACTGCCACTTTTAAAACTTTCTTGCATTTTATTTTTTTTTAGTGGAGAGGCATATTTAAGGCAATTTTAAAAAAAGGCTTTTTAACTTTAAAGCTGTTGCAGTGCACTCTGTCTAGGAAGCCATGTCTAAAAATGGGGAATATTGGATAGCATACGCAGAAGGCTGTGAATCCACTTGTTCCGTTTACTTGTAATTATTGTAAGATTTTCAGAATCATCTCATTATTTAATGAGAAAATAACGCGGCATGTGTTGTGCTGGAAGTAATATGTATCAAATAAATTGTATCAAATGGTATAGAATCACAGCATGGTAAATACAGTCTATTCAAGCATGCAACTATCTTTGAGATTTAGCCTTACAAGAAATACCAACTTTTCCAGTTGAATTAAATAAATAAGTTCAGTATGGTGACCATCTATCTTACCACGTAAGGGCTGTTTCTCTGAAATATGTTATATTTCAGATAAACAGTCCTTATATACTTACATATTTCATATTTATGTCCTAAAATATCTCATGGATGCAAATTAGCTTTAACAATGGTGCAAAAGCAAACTGTAATTTTTGGTAAGAAACAAGCATTGCGCTGGTGATACGTCAGACTCTGGCATTTCCGCATTTTCTTCTCTTTTGAGGAAGTAGGAACTCCAAACGAGCAAAACTGATGTCAAGTCTTTTAGTTTTAGTCTAATACTTGTTGCTGAATGCCTATGGCACTAACCAATCACGCGTTCAGGTGATGAATGCCCAGCCTTGATTACTAGCTGTGACAGTGAGGGAGCCTGGTGCTTGGCCTGTTTGTGGAAATCTTTGGCATCTGTGCCTGGCAAGGCGGGTGACGGGAGGATCTCTCTGTTTATTTTAGCCGAACAGACCGTTTCCAGTCTTTCGGTGGCATTGTAGTCGCCCACGTTGCTATGGTGACACAGATGGTGATGCAGACAGGCATTTGTCTGGGCTCCATGAGCCGCAGCGGCTAGCCGCTAATGACAATATGTAGGAGGCAGGCCCGGCTTCTGCCCGGGCCGTAACCGAAAGCACTACCTACTGCTTCACTATAACCAGGCCGGAAGAAGTGCCAAGTCTCCTGCACATAGCTATCTAGCCACCCGCACATTTATGTTAAAGGCAAAATCGATGAGAAGTAGTAATTGGCTTTTAAGGTAGAAAATCACTTTCGAGTAGATGAACGGGGGCGTGGGTGTGTACCAGCAGACTTCATTAATATCCATTAAGTGTAGAAAGGGAATTGATTTGCTAGTATATGTTAATAGGATATATCCATGACATCCAGTCCTACAACAGCCGTTTCATGTTCCTGTTAGCTCTGAGAGCTTACCAGATTGATGACCAAGGCAGATTAATCCTTTGGGTTTTAATGGTGTGGGAGGGCAAGTGATAAAATGATGGATAAGTATCGTGTTAGAAAGCCCATACTGTGTCCTCTATCATCTCTTGGGACTTACCTGCCACTGCTGCTGGCACTAAACCCGGCCTCTTTGGCTTTCCCGCTTGCATTCTCTGGGGTCGCAGCTGACCCCAGGAGATGCAGGGGTTGGGTGGCTCTGTACCTCTTTGCAGACCTGAAGAGCAGCTTGGCCTCTTGTAACAATGCCTGGTAATGTACGGTTCTGCTGTATCTGCAGGTAGATCGCATTAATTTCTGTAGCATGCATTAAAATTACCGTCTAGCATGGACCCCCCCCCCCACCCCCAATGGGATGCCAGACCATAACCCAGGGTCCGCATACAAGCACTGAGATGCCATAGGCTTGGTGTCTTTGGACTGTAGGAGGAAACTGGCACACCAGGAGGACAACGCATAAAATGCTGATACATGCAGGGCGATGACAGAGTCTGTGCTGCCCACTGAGCTGCTGTGACTCAGCTTTCACTTAACTTCCTTTTAGAAATACATCAGATACATTTTTTGTTCATTATGATCTTATACAGTAGGATGCAGTACAGAGAATGGTGCCTGTTTAATTCTGACCTTACACCAAATGACTTTCCAAGTGATTTCAGAAGTAACTGCAATAAACTATTAAATCCTGGTGTTATGTCACATGACAGCCTACAAGACAATACCTCTGCTTACTTTCATTGCTTACGCTAATGTTCCCCATTTTTGGTCTTGAAGCGGCAGAGTCACAGCTTGCAGATTTCCCTGCTCAAAGACATCTCAAGCGGCACTTAGCAGGTTTAGCATGTGTGTTTGAACAGGAAAGTCTGAAACCTGCGGTCGATTCTGGTCCTCCAGACCAGATTTTGGGAACACTGGCTTACACTGTGCACCCGTCTGTCGGCTACGTGCGCACACTCACCTGCACATGATGTGACATGCAGTGCCAGCCGTTTCTCGTCAGTGTCTCACAGAATGCAGTGCGATCGTATCTTACATGTGCAGTGTTTAATGTTCTTTTATTCCTTCTATTCCTCCCTTTGGCAGGTGTTTTCCAAGCCTGCGGTCACATGCCCACAACCCTACATAACTTTGTATAAATATACAAAGCAGGAATACTCCATTACCTGGGGGGAGGGAGGCCCAATCAATCGGCAGGCCCTGGTGTGCAAGTCTTTAAAGCTACAGGTTCATTTGTTGAATAATTAGGTAGAGTCTTTGAGTACATAAGAACAGTAAAGACTTGTATGCACTGCTTCCAAACCTTTAGTGCTGGAACCCCTGCTTTAAGCAGATCCTTTGCTCTATTATTCTGTCTTGCTAAGGTCACTGATAGAATGGCTCACTGGGAATTTACACAATACTTCTTGTACATAATACACGACAAACAATACAGTCAGCGGGGTCTAAATATTTGAGAGTGTTTTTCAAAGCCTGTCATGAACAATTTTAAAGCAATGCCTTTTCATATCTAGGGTGCTGTAAACTGTAACAGCTAAGGATGCTGGGAAGGGCTCCATCATTGTGATGTTCGCTCAGGGTCGGCGAGCACATGCGACTTTGGGCTGAGAAACACTGCAAACCAGACTGTGAGCTGCTGGTGCCGTTGGGAAATCTGCTGGCTTTCCGCTGTCTCACACCAGTAGCTTGATTTGCAACCGGTGGTTCTTCTCGTGTGAGAAGCCAAACCCTGTTGTTGTCATTCTCCTTGACCTAAAGCTCACCATGTCAGCGCTGATGGGAGGGAATTTTATTTACGATGTGTGTTCAGGAATTGACTTGTTTGTGGGGTGTGGGGATGGGGGCAGGGGGGGGGGGCAGGTCGAGGATGGGCGTGGACCCTATGAGCCTATGAGTCTCTGCAACGCACAGCCTTGTCGTCCACCATGCCAAGCACAGAGATTGGGCAGGTGACCTGTGGCATGCTGAAACTCGACGCTATTG